TGATTCAATGTTGTTTCAATCATTCTGTGCTATCTGGGATGTAAACCTACACGTGAAAGGTGAGATTGTCTGGAGACCCGTCTCTGTCTGAGTCAGTGATGTCATGGATCGCGCTGACGGCCATCGCCACCTGACCGATTGCGTAAACAATCGACAGGTAGATGATTGTCCTGCGAGAGACATGATGAAGAATAGTGGAAGTAATACGAGCTGTAGATGTAAAAGTGCCTTATTGAAAAAACAAAAAAACAAAAAAACAAGTTCAGATCGTGCTTCTTAGACTGAATCACTGAAGTATTAACATAGCGCAGTGAAATCATTAAAATTGAACCCAGTCACTCACTTGAACTTCCCAAGCCAGGAGTCGGCTATAATGGCCCCAAGAATGGGGGTTAGGTAGCAGAAAGCAACAAAGGTGTGGTAGATGGAGATGGCCAAGTCATCGTCCCATCGCAAAAAGTACTTAAAGTACAGCACCAGGACAGCTGTGGAGAGGCAATAATACCTTTTTCTACAGCACAATTGTAAATATATCAACTTATTGTATTCCATAATAATAGGTTCAAATCACAAACTTGAGTTAAAGGATAGCCGTAACAGGATTTAAAACAAAAAACCTTGTCGGGTGAAAAAGACAGGCAAAATAAGAAAGATAATGTTACGAATAAATGGGTTGTACTACTATAGTTCAAACTGTATGTTCAAACTGGAACTACTTGTGTGACATAAGTCTTTCTCTCCAATTAAAAATTGAAAATGATTTGTCTTTTTTTTATGTGTTTATCTGCCTAAAAATAATTAAATGTGCAGTATCACAGTAGTCAATTTTTATTTTTTATATATATTTTTTAGAAAAGACAAAAATTGAAATCGAAAGGTCTCTCGCCCCATCTATCGGCAGTCTTTTTTACTTTTCAAAAGTAAAGTAATTGCAAAGTCTTATCGTGTAGTTTGGTGTGTTGCTTCCCAGAAAACTCACCTCGCATTCCATAGTAGGAGAACCTCTCACAGAACTCATTTACTATAATGAAAAAGATGCTGATGGGGTAGCCAAACACTTCTTTACACTGTTCAGGAGATACAAAACAAATGTAGCGTAATCCCTTTAGCAAAGCTAAGACAAACTTAGTGAAGATACAAACTGATCAGTCAACACAAAAAATATTTTGTACAGAGACTGCAACATTAAATCTTAAATTATAAACTGTTAATTCAAATGATACTGATAGTGATTTTTCTTTTATTGCATTGCAATTTGCATTAGTATATTTTATGCCAATAAAACATACTCGACTCTTATTTTTTTAATCATACAAAAAGTCAGTTGCACTAAAGAAAGCTCTTATCTGTTAAATCCACGAATAAAATGCCATTCTAATGGCAAAGATAACTAAAAATCACATGCAATTTTTAATACACTGTGTATCCAAAGGCCAGCATTACAACTAAGATTTTTAATGCTTGACTTCTAAAAAGGCTCAGTCAGTTTGAAAGTCATCATCTACAGTAATACCACCACTTTACCTTTCCTCTGCCCTTGCTTTCCTTTTTGAGGTCATCTTTTTCTGTGGGTACAAAAATCTACTTTAGCTACAAAAAATATGAAATGTGTAAAACTGATCAACTTTACTTTGACTTGTCAGTAAAACATCTACACAGTCTTATGAATTACATGTACTATTTGTCTCTGATCTTACCAGTCATGTTTAAATGAGGCTGCTGCTTGCTTTCTCTTGCACCGTGGTATTCCTTTGAGATTTCTTCCACAAGCCCACAATACTTTATCTTTTTCTCCTGGCAGGTGGGAGTGGGAATGCTTCATGTTATATTGCTCCTCGTTAGCCTTACGCTGTCTTTTACACTGCTGACTGGTTTGTTTTTGCAATAGGGTGGGAACATGAGCTGCAGCTGATAAAGCATCTAGCATATTCGTACCCTGAGATTTTACTGGTTAGTGCTCGCAAATATGTGTGACAAGCCTTAAAGAATTTTTTTTTTTTTTTAATTGCTGTAACGAAATATTGCTTAGACTTTTTGTCAATTAATTTAAGGTAATCAAAGTATCTCTGAAATTTTAACTGCTAATATATTCCTTTTTTCCCCCCAGGTATAACGAATATGTGACATACTTTCCAATAAGGTAGATGCATTCTGACCTCCACAAGTCAGGAAATGACTTTAATAAATGTCAATTTGTGTAAAATGGCTCTTCCCCAGAATCCAACTAAGCTGAGCATGGGCAAGTTTATGTTAAGACCGAATCACTTAAGTATTAATATAACAGTCAAACTGTGGTTGAAAAGTGAGAGGGAAAAAGCTGCCTTATCAAAAACAAAGAAAACAACATTACACCTCAAGTTGGTGAATAAACATCAACAGGCGTTCAGGCTACATTTGGAAGTGACAAGAGGACTAAAAGTTGTGCTGTAAAGAAAGTTGCCTATCGACATCCAGAGTTTGCAGGGTCAAAACATTTCTGCATGCCTGAAATGTCTGGGAGGAATGCCAGGAAGACACCATTTTTGTCCAGCAACCACAAATGTAAGGGTGTGGTGTCTACTAAATTATACTAGAGTTTTAATATTGACAGGTTGCTTTAGTTAGTTGAGACTAACTTTGATCTTCAGAAGAAGAATGAGCAGAAAAACAAATCCTCAGTGTTTGTAGTGTAAAACAGAGAAAGAATGTGAGAAAGTACTTCAAGAGCAATGTTAAGTATGGTGACAGATCTGTGATGCTGTGGGCCTGTTGCTCTTCCAAAGGCCCTTGGAAGATTGTTAGAGCACTGCATCATAAAAAGCTTGGGCTTTGTAGCTGGAGTTGAATAAGAACATTGTAAAAAAAACCAACAATAATAATAATAAAGACATATGCAAAGAAGTGAGTGCTTTTATTTAAAAGATAAGCATTAGGGAATATCTCTGTTTACAGCAGAACAGTGGCTTGTGTTAAATATTAAAAAATGCTGCTCAAATATAAGACATTTTTCTTAAACAATAAAAAAAGAAAAACATAAAATAGTATAAGCTTCATATTTCTTCCACAGTAGGCATAATGTCTTTCCCCCACACCTCATCGCTTTGGCAAAAAGGTGAACATAATCATTACAGTGTTTGATCTCCACCCAGCAAGATGCTTTGCAAATATTGCACACAGTCCTTTGTATGTACATCAATAAACAACTTGGAATATACTTTTTGTTTGCAATGGCTTTAAATACACATATATATAAAAAAAACTCCAAATAAAAACAGATTTAATCTAACATTAATTCAAAGGAGTTTTGCAAAAAAAAAAAAAAAAAAAAGCCTTTTCTGAAAATGTAACTTTATGTCCAGACAGAGAAGCGTCAATGTTTGCAGCATATATTTATCAAGACATCAATACAGTGGCTTATAAAAGTGGAATACTGTACATAAAAACACTAAACATGATTAAAAAAAAAGAAAAAAAAAAACAACAACTGGGGGCTGTCGGGGCAGGGTGATGTAGTGACATGCATATTTTAAAAATCCCAACAGGAATGTCTCCATAGAAACAGTGTTCAGTCTTTAGGTAGAAACAGGTGAAACATACATTTCATCAAAAAGTGTATTTTTTTTTTTTCCCAGATGAAAGTCTCTGCTATGGTGTTACTTTTCTCATCGGGCCTAGCCTCTCACACGCAACACCCTGAGCACAGAGTCACAAATCGTGCTTGACTGAGTGGACCAGAGCGCAACGCAGAGAGTGAGCGTTATCGACGGTTCCAGCATCTTCCAAGCAATAAGCTGACAGATGCAAGCTGGCCTCAGTGGTGAGCATGCAGTGCTCACATCCAGAACTGGATTATATCACCGAGGCTGAGTGCGGGATGCCCTGGATGGTGACGGAGGTCGGCGTGCCACTGATGGCGTTGAAGATGTGAAGCGAGTCGGGGAGCACACTCTTCATGCCGTCTTCCACGGGAACGATCTTGGTAGGAAAAGCGACAACTAAATCAAAACGGAAAGCTCATAATAAAAGCCAACAGATTCAAAATTTGGGGTCTCCTTGTTTTGAATCTTTTCCATCATTTACAATGAGGCTAATAGTAAAAAATTGTAAATTGTATTGGATGCAGCACCTTTTTGTGTGTTCGTGTCATGTTATGTTTGTGCACAGGAAGAGAACATGTTTTTCAGCATTTTTGTTTGCATATATGCAATTAATATGAATGCTTGTCAAATTATAAATGTCTCATATCAAAACCCAGAGATGAAAAAATGTGGGACTAAAATCTGGCAGTTACTTCCAACAAGCATTTTTTTTTTAGTTGCTAATAAAAAAAAAATTATAATGAGAAATAACAGATTTATCAGGATGCAGGGAGCAATCAGACTTTTGGGCGTCAAAAAATTGTTTGTTCAATTGATCAGGCACCTCTAGGACCGAAATCGGTTTTCATTGGGGTGCCTGCTGTTCAAAATATAAAATTTTTAATGTAAACTTTTGTCAGTAATTAATTGATGTATTCACTGCTTTTTCAAACTGCTTGTTGAACTTCTCACTCACACTGGATGACTTCACATATGCTCATAACAGAGGCAACTATTGGCCACTCAAAATGTGAGCGATAGAAAAAAAGTTGGAATCATTTTTCTACATTAGATTTTCTATATTAGATTAAAAAAAAGAAACATGTCTGCTAAAATTATTAGATATTAGAAATAAACCATACTTGCTTCATGCATCTCTAATGGAAAAAAAAAAATTAGGAACACAGATTTATACGCATATTTACACAGCAACACATACTGTCCATGCATCCAAACATTCCGCACACGCATGCAAGAAAGTACGTCAGCAAGCCAAAAATAACAAAAGCCAAATAGTGACTGTTGGTCTAGCTAGAACTTTGAGCAGTGGGGGGGTTGAGTTGGACAAAAACTGATTGATATACTTTCATCCACAGGTTAAATTTTTTGGTTATTGTCTCCCTTTTATAGGACAAACAGTATTGTTTATAAATTAGTCAATTTATAGTGAAAATAATTGCTCAGACAGCTCAAGTTATGCACATGAAGTAGAAATTTGCTTCATGTGTTAGAATAATTTATGTGAGGTTGATTTCATGTTTACTGCAGGTGTTGAAAGATAAAAGCAAGCGGTTTATGATCTGATAGCTCTGAGCCTCGGGATCAAGTGTTGGACCTGGGCTTTTTTTTTTAAAACTACTTTAAAGGCAGGACTTTTACTAAGTTAACATCCTAAATCCAAATGGTGTTTGTCTAGCAAGACCAACAATTAACTCAATATTTTGCATTCTGATGTTTCTTGCATTACCATCAAATCTGCTCATGTCAGCACGAAGAAAAAAAAACAACAGAGAATGTTGTTATCAGAGAGTGCTTTATCGCTCTGTAAAACAATATAAAAGGCCCTCTGATTACTTCGATTTCCACAGACCGTTTCAGAGGCAGGTTAAAGGTGTTACATTATTATGCTAAATCCAGTAAAAAAAAAAAAAAAAAAAACCAGCAGCAGTAGGAGCAGCAGCATCCCCGAGCTTACCTGCTCGGGCATGATGATGGACAACTCTCTGGTCAAGTCTCTGTAGTTTGCTTTCATCTCATCGTGGTACTCCTGCTGGTCCTCTTTGATCAGTCGCTCGTTAATGCCCAAGCCGTGGCCACAGGCCTCCACAAAATGCCTGCTTAGAAAAACGTTGTAAGCACGTGTTCAAGAGAGATTACCTCTAGGTAACTGTAAGACCCCCTTACGCCTCACCTGAAGACCTCTTTGAGCTGCTTGACCTTGTTATCTGGATACTTCTTGGCGCTCGAGTCATCCAGAAAAGCTCTGGCATATGCAAGCGGTCCTGCATTCACCTGTCATGGAGAGAGCGTAAATTTCCTCATCATATTATACTCTTAAGTTTTACCGGTGTGCGTTTGTGCTTTGACAGGACTCAGAGTGGGCACCTGGACACTGATGCTGCCCTGCAGCTTGAGCTGCAGACGGATCATGTCCACGTCGCTGGAGGAGCACAGCTGGTTGATCTCGGCCACTTTTTTGCTCATTTCGTCGATGGCCACCTCGATGGGGCTCAGGTCGGTGTGGTGTTGGTACATCACTGCGATACGCTTCTTCACGTAGGGAAAACAGTGTGTTGCTGCAAGAAGCACACAAAGAGGCGAAAAAGCTTGAATTGAAGCTAAATGATCAAGCTTCACAGTTCTACAGCCGAGTGTCCGTCTAAGTGGAGACTGCTCATCAAATAAAAGCTCACACATATTTGTAGATAAGATGACATGGCTGAACTTTTGTATCTCTTGCACCATAAAGCAATACAGCTGTCATAGGGATTAGGAAGTGTACATCTCAAACGGCTGACAAGTTCAAAAGCTAATCAAGATCTTCTATTCATAAACAGAGACATTCTGCTGACAGATGCAATCAGTGATTGACTAATGAGAAATGTGCTCAGTCTTAATAAACGGACTCGTGTGAGCCGAAATGTGACGCAACGGCTTTTTAAAATTTATTTTCAGATGATGAGTCTTACATCTCTGAGATGTTCGAAGCAAAACACATCTGTTTCTCTGACCGGTTTGCTGTGTTCCTCCGTCTTCATGATGTTGTTCTCTGTCTAACAAACTCCCAAGGCCTTCGCAGAACAGCTGGATTTATACTGAGATTAACTCACATGCAGATGGTCTCTATTTACTGATTACTGCACTTCTGAAACCAACTGAATAAACTCGGTTGTAGGAGGTTTGAGCGTAAAAGGTAATAAAAAACATTGTGTGCCACAGTCCCAGATTTTTCCTCCGCATATCGATTTCCGCATGACATTTATGTGCTACTTTGTTTTGGTCTCTATCACATAAAATCCCAGTAAAATGCATTTTCTAATAAAGTTTATAGGTCATTATGCTCTCAGAAGGTATTGCATGAGAAATAGATTTTTTTTTTAAAGAAACAAACTAAAACAATTGTTTTACTGAATTACTGCTAATACGTAAATGAAGCGAGAGCAGCTTACTGGTGAGTATCGTCCTGCGTTTGCACTGCTCCTCCACTCCACCTTGCTTTTTGCCAGATATTGTGAAAGGCATTTCGAACACAAATCGCCGGATGTTGTGGCTCCTTTCGAATTCTGTCTTTCTGTCGGCCAGCTCTTTCTCATCCAGGTACGGAGTTACATGGGTCACTTGGATATACGCGTACTTGGAGTCCAGGTCTTTGGGGTTAATCTGTAGAGGAAGCACGTCATCTCAAGACATGAACTCCTGCTACAATGCAGCACCAATCAAACTGCCAACAAATTAAATGAATCAACAATCTCCAGGTCAAATGTTGTTTTTGTTTTTTGTTTCTGTTCATAAACTGCATCAAAATGAAAAAAAAAAAAAAAAAAAAAAAACCTTTTTCCCTTTTTTTTTTTTGGGGTCCCCTGGGGGGGGGGAATTTTT